GGTTGGGAGGGTGCTGGGCTCACTGTAGCTTTCTGGCCAGGGAGGTGGCGAGTTGAGCTGCTCACCACGGCGACTCAGCCAGCTCCTCACTGCCGTGCTGGTCTCTGCCACGTGGTACCAAGGGAATTGTATTTTTTTTAAAAATATTTTTAATATTCCCCTTTCCCCTCCCTGGCACAAACTGGGACATCTGAAGCTTTGCTCTGCTGGTGGTGTGGTGCCAGCCCGTGTGTCCCACTACTGCCGGCACCGCCGGTGATTGATCGATCGCTGGTTGATCACTCTGGGATCCCAGCAGGGCTGGGTTTGCAGAGGACCCTGGTGCCCAGTTTGGTGTTTTGGGGTTTTCTTGGACTGTCCCTCACTGTTCCCCCATGGCTGTGCCTCTCCCTAGGGCTCCTATGGGGTAGTGAAGCTGGCCTACAACGAGGATGATAACACCTACTATGTGAGTAGTGCCCAGTCCTGGCGCCTGCAGCAGGGCAGGTGGGGATGGATCCCTCTGCTGACTCCCTCCCTGGCTCCATGCCAGCCCCATCCCACCAACCCCATTTTATCCTGGATTTGCCCCAGATCTCACAGTTTTCCCCCCTCTTGCAGGCAATGAAGGTTCTCTCCAAAAAGAAGCTGATGAGACAGGCGGGCTTCCCCCGTAAGTGACACAAAAGCTTTAGGGTGGGGGAGGGTTAACATTCCTGAGGGCTGGGATGCCAGCCAGAGGGAGCTGGAGAAGTGGGCATGGGTGAACCTCACGAGGCCAAGCACAAGGTCCTGCACCTGTGAAACACTGGCCCAGGTTGCCCAGAGAGGTGGTCGCTGCCCCATCCCTGGAACCATCCCAGGGGAGGTTGGCCAGGGCTCTGAGCAACCTGCTTGAGTTGCAGATGTCCCTGCTCCCTGCAGGGGGGTTGGTCTAGATGACCTTTAAAGGTCCTTTCCAACCCAAAACATTCTAGGATCCCGTGCTTTGGGTACCCTGGGAGCTCCTTCCCAACCAGCCACTCCATCTTTGCCTTCTCCACAGGCCGCCCACCACCCCGTGGGACCAAAGCTGCCTCCGAGGGCTGCCTGCAGCCCAGGGGGCCCATCGAACAGGTCTACCAGGAGATTGCCATACTGAAGAAGCTGGACCACCCCAACGTGGTGAAGCTGGTGGAGGTGAGCATGAGTGTGAAGGAGCCTGGCTGCTGCAGGGAGGGGCTGTGTCAGCTTGGGTCGGGGGGAGCAACTGCAGAGGGGGTGGGATGACAGGACACTCGTGTTTTCCTTGATGTAAAGATTTTTCAGTCCCACCTCCTGAAAGGTTTTTTTTTTTTTCTTCCCTGCTCAAAAAGCGAAATGCAGAAATTGCTGCTTCCCTAAAAGAACCATGTGCTCAGATGGGTTTTGTGGAGGAACTGGTGTTCCTGTGGTGCAGCTGACCTGCCCTCCGCCTACTGACTGCATGAACCAGTCCAAAAAATCAAGAATTAAGGTTGTGCAGGCTGGAGTTTATTTGGCTCATGAGTCAGATGATGCTTCCTGTGTGTTTTAAATATTTACTTCCTTGAAGTACAGCTATATCTGTCCTCTTTTTCTTCCCACCCCTTGTGGGTAGGAGCTCGGAGATGAGCAGACCATGCCAATGGTGCAGATGGTGCAGAATGGAGATGGCTGCTCAACAAAACAATCACAGCATTTCATTTGCAGGTTTTTTTTTGGTGCTGTTTAATTTCCTTTCCACTTCTTTCGGCAGGTCCTGGATGACCCCAGTGAGGACCACCTGTACATGGGTAACTGCCCACCGCCCTGCGGCGCTCGCGGGGTGTCTGTGGGATGGGGGTTTGCAGGGACAAAAGGTTCCCCCCGTGTTTTGGGGTGGCTGCATGCGGGGTTGGGTCTGTCCTCTGGAGTGGGTATGGCCTGGATGGGTTGGAGGAGCAAAGCCCCTCTCATGGTCAGGGCAAATGGGATCCAGCCAGGGCTCGGAAAGGAGCAGGAGTGGTTGTAGGCTTTAATTCCACACCAGGTCATGCTTTGCCATGAGAGGCACCAGGGGTTATGTTCTCACCTCTGAAGCCAGGCTGCTAGCAACTAGCTTTATTTCTTTGGTTTTGAGAACAAGGCACATCTTAATTATCCATAGTATAAACGAGCCACTTCCCAACCTGTCTTGCAGACTGCAGTGGTCTGCTCGAGGTAAGAGACACACTTCTGGAGGAGGCATTTCCTCCCCATCGTTTATGTTCAGCCTGCACTAGGGGAGGAGTGTGTGATGCCTTCATGGCCAAGCACAGGGGGTTGCTCAGGGTGTGGGCTCAGCTTTGGTCCTGCAGGAAAACAGGGTTTCAGGTGCCATGCAGAGGGCACTTCATGGTGCTGAAGCTGCAGCAAGAAGGTAGTTGGCAGCATCCTCTTAACTGAAAAATGGAAAGAACCAAAATGCCATGTGCCTTCCATAAGATAGCATTCATTTAAAAAAAATACCATCATTTTTAGATTTTTTGTCATTAAAAAAATTGCTTTTGTGCTGGGACTGTGCTTGCAGGAGCTGCATCCTGTAAGTGGTCAGTAACCATTTTTTCTTTTGTGTTTCAGTGTTTGAACTGGTGAAGCAAGGGTGAGTAGTGAACTCCAGATTTAAACCTACTAAGGCATGAGCATGATTTTGGTTTGTGGGGGGCACAGCTCAGCCACTGGAGGCAGGCACAGGATGCAGAGACGATGGGGAGGTTCGTGGTGGGTCTCCTACAGGCTCAGGTAGCATCTCCCCAGCCCTGTTACAGTCGTGTACCCCCCAGACGTGCCTGCATTCCGGGCTGCACGCTGTCACCGCCGGCAGCAGAGCCTCCAGAAGCTGTTTGGGGAAGCTGGGTGGGGAACAAGCTCCACTCTCTGTTGCCTTTGCAGCCCCGTGATGGAAATCCCAACCCTGAAACCTCTCAGCGAGGACCAGGCTCGGTTCTACTTCCAGGATCTGATCAAGGGTATTGAATACTGTAAGTCTCTCTGCAAAAACTATGGGATTTTTTTTTTTTTCATTTTTTTCTAATTTCCTGGGGCCGGGCTTTTTGAAGCTGGGGTGTGGAGCCGTTTCTGGTGGCTTATGCTACTGCACAGGGCTTTTTGAAGCTGGGGCCAGCTGTGGTGTTGGCAGAAAGGCTCACAGCCCTGGCTCCCTGGCTGCAGAGCTGAACCCCTCGTGTTTCCTTTGGCTGCAGTGCACTATCAGAAGATAATCCACCGGGATATTAAACCTTCCAACCTGCTTGTGGGGGAGGATGGGCACATCAAGATCGCCGACTTCGGAGTGAGCAACGAGTTCAAGGGAGCTGATGCCCTCCTGACCAACACCGTGGGCACCCCTGCCTTCATGGCCCCCGAGACGCTCTCAGAAACCAGGAAAATCTTCTCTGGAAAGGTATTTCCTAGCCATCTGGGGGGCTTTGGACTACCCTTCCTTGCACAGGCTGTCTGTTGCAGATCTAACTGTGCTTTCCCCTCTCCGCAGGCTTTGGATGTCTGGGCCATGGGGATCACTCTGTACTGCTTCGTGTTTGGGCAGGTAATGAGGTGGAGTTTCCAGCTCTGGGGGTGTTTGGCATGTGCCTCCCACACACCAGGTACACGGTGGGATGTGCACGCTGTTTGAGCAGCTGGGGATGTGTGGGTGGAAGTGAGAAACTTCTGCCTGTCTGCAGGATGGATGGAACCAGAAGGGCTGCACTTCCCTTTTCCCCTGGGGAAAAATCTCTGTGCCTGGCCAGATGCTTTAGCAAAGGAGCCGTTGTAGTAGTTTGGTCATTTTTCATCCAATGTAGTTTTCATTGTGTTTAAAAGAAGACATTGATGCACTAGAAAGTCTTCTGGTATTTCCCCATAACTGGCTCCTTGCTCTCCTTCAAATCCTACGAGATCCTGATGTGCAGCTGGCTGCCCCTCTGCTGCTTCTTAACAGAGGCTGTTGCTTTTCTCATTCCTTTTCTTCTTGGTGGTAGTGCCCTTTTATGGATGAAAGGATCCTGAGTTTACACAATAAAATCAAGACCCAAGCACTGGAGTTCCCAGACCAGTAAGTACTCAAAAAGAAACCCCAACCAACCCCACAGCCTCTATTTTAAAGCTCATTTAAGCATTTCTCAGGCACTGCCCGGGGTGGGGCTGACCCTGCTCTGCTGCAGTTTTGCAAAACCCAGGCTCAGCCCTTCTGTTGGCCCTCAACCCTGGAAAACTTCCTCTGCATTAAACGTGAAGGCAACATCTCTTGGTTTGCAGATGCTGGAGGAGGGATTGACGTTGCAGAGGTGGTTGACAGAATGGATTAACCTGTGCAGTTGCTCCCTGTTGGGTGTTAGCCTGGGTGGAGTTGGTGTTAGGCTCTCCCAGCCCTGTACATGCAGGATCACACTCCAGATTGCCCATAATATTTATTTGGAGGAAGGGCTGTGTGGCACCTGGGTGCATGAGGCCCCAGTCTGACTGGGAAGGCCCATAGTAGCTGGCAATGGCATGAGGAAGGGAGGCAGGATCCACCTCCTTCTCCACCTCATCTTATCTTATCCCTCCCCTCTCCTTTCCCCAGGCCAGAAGTTACTGACTTCTTGAAGGATTTAATTACACGAATGCTGGATAAAAATCCCGAATCTAGGATTTCGGTCCCTGAAATCAAGGTACTGACCCAGCCCCCTGGTGTTGGAGCTGGTTTCACTTCTGTTGAGTTCTCCTTGCTTGGCTTTTTTTGGGGAGTCAGTTTGATCGTGCCAGGCTAGGTCCTCCCCCTGTGCCCAGGGTCCCTGGGCAGGTAAGTCCCAGCTCCTTCCCCTGCTCCGGGACCTGCTCAGTTTTGGGACCTTTGGTGCCTACAGAAGTCACAGGCAAAAGGAAACCCCCTGAGTACAGTATTTCCTCTGCTACCAGGAAAGTACTGTGCAACAGCCTTTCGCAGGAGATTTCTGGTCCTCTGCCCCTGTGGGAGCCTGGAAGGGGCGACAAGCTGAGAAAATGGAGACTAAGGTAGGGAGAAAGGATTGCGGGGGAATTGCTGAAATGTTTCGTGCTCCTCCTGCAGCCACCCGAGACACCAGGTGTGTAGGCAAGGAGAGAGAGTGGTTTCTGCCTTCTGTCGTGGATTCATCCAGGACCAAGACTAGGGCTTGGTGGGTCTCACCATCACTGTGTATGGCTTGGAATAAATCACTCCTGCCTCTTGGTGCTGTCCATCCATAAGATGGGAGTGGAAATAGGTCTTCTCCTCTAAAACCCACCGAGATGCCCAGTGCTGTAGGTCACCAAGGTTGTGTATTTTTCTGCTCCAGGCTGACCTGTTCCCAGTGGTGCTGGGGTGAGCTGGCTTGCCAGAAAGATGGCACGTCTCTGCCCTGCTCCCTGGCATTTCAGGGGCACGTAGGGGCCGTAGCTTGGGCGAGGAGATGCGTTTGCCAGGCTGGTTTGAGTTCTGAAAAAGAGGAAATCGTTCCTGACAGGCTGTGTTATTAATTGAAGTTGCACCCTTGGGTCACCAAGAACGGAGTGGAGCTGCTGCCCACGGAGGATGAGAACTGCACCCTCGTGGAGGTGACAGAGGAGGAGGTGGAGAATTCGGTCAAGCACATCCCCAGCCTGGCCACCGTGGTGAGTGTGAGGAGGTGATGGTCTGTGGGCACACACGGGGGTCTGCACTGCTGCCCAGGGGGGTTCTGAGCAGCAGGAGGTTGCTGCTGCAGGGCAAAAAAGCTGGGCAGGATTAGACCAAAGATATCCCCTCTCTTGGAAAGAGGTGCTGCAGGACGGGGTCTCAGCATCACAGTGGAGGTGACCATACCCCAGGGTGTGGGGGACTATTTCAGAGCAGTCCCAAAGGGACCTGTCGGGGGCTTGCCAGTCTCCACGCTTGAGCTGGCTGCCTAAATATCACTGTATTTGCTCAGGGCAAAAAGGCATCTGGTCCAGGACCTGCCCATGGCTGGGAGCGGGTGTTTTGGCCAGGCATGAGGAGCTCCTGCCCTGCCCACCCTCCTGCAGGGGCTGCAGGAGCTTCCTGGGATGGAGGTTTTATCTGGGCCACAGCCTGCACCAGCCCCTGCCTGGAGCTATTCTTGGTGAATTCATCTCATCTCTTTTCAAGCTCATATTTTTATTCTTGGCAACCCACTGTGGTGGTGAGAACCACAGTGTAACCCTGCTCTGTGTGAAGAGTGAAATCCTTGTGGGTTTTGAACCTACTGATGTTTTTTTTTGGGTGCCCACTAGCCTAAGGCTAGAGCAAACAGCAAGTGACCGTTGGCAGTTCCCTGGCACGGTGTTATCTGCTGTAGACACCCGGGCTGTGATTTTTTGAAGTACAGATCTCCCTTGGAGCTCCTTTTCCATCTCGTGGCTGTGCCCACATCTGGCTCCATTCCTGGAGCTCTCTCCCACATCAGTACCCCACAGAAGTTGCTTCGACCGCAGTGATGTTAGTATGCAAATGTGCCTTGTGCTGCTGAAGCTGGAGGAGCAGCTCTTCTCAAAAGGGATCACTGCTGGGGGGTTCCCCCTCTCTCCTCTTCCGAGGTGACTCACTGGGATGCAGTGAGGGGTGGCTCAGGGCTCCTGGCCCTGCTGAAACTCCAGGTGTGTTTAGCACAGCTCAGGGCAAAGGAGCTTTTACCACGGCTCTTCCCTCCTAAATAACACATCTCCTCCAGGCAGAGCTTGTGTTTTCCCATTTGCATGTGTTCTTCAGAATTACCCTCGGGTGCCTCATCTGAGTTTTTTTTTGCCAGGTTCGGGAGCTTCGCCTGGCTTTGACTGGCACACAAAAAGCCTTCCCTGCAGGAAGAGGATAAACATGGCACAGAGGGATGAGAAGCAGCATCAAATGAAGCCAGGGGTTCCCAGAGAGGGATGCACACAGTGAGACAGGGTCCAGTGCTGCTCACATTGTTCTCCCAAGCAACAGAATAAGCTGGGAATGCCTGGGAAGAACCCGACACTTGATCTGCTCCCAGCAGCCTCTGATTGCTGCTGGATAACTTTCTGTTTTGCAGCCAAAGCTAGACAAACAGCCAATTTTCCAGATTGGTTTTGGTAAATGTTTAGGCCAAATTGTGCCAATTTCTTCCTTCCCCTCTCCTTTTCCAGTGAATTCTTCTGCCAGGCAATCACGGGGAGCTGGGAATATGCAAGTACTGGATGCAGTAATTGGTAAAACCTACTTCTGGGGGGAGAAAATCTTGCTAGACTTGGCTTTGCTCTTCTTTCCAGCCTCTCACACCTCTCATCTGCGTGTTCAGTTCTTGCACCAAGGATTTCAGATGAGGATCCAGCCCCTGTATTAAGCAGCTGGAGATTTGTAAACATCCTTCCTTCTGTTTCTGGTGTTTGGTTTGTTTTTTTTTTTTTTAAATACAAAAAGAGAACTTTAACTTGTTTTCACTACTTCTCTTAATCAGTTGGGCATGAGGTTTGGGTGTTCCTATTGCTCTCAAATGAAAGGAAATCATCCCTGACAAACTCTGATCTGTTTTTGCAGATCTTGGTTAAAACGATGATCCGGAAGCGCTCCTTTGGGAACCCCTTCGAGGGGAGCAGGAGGGAGGAGCGGTCACTCTCTGCCCCTGGGAACCTGCTGCCGTGAGTCTCACCACCTTCCCCTGCCCAGAGAGAGGTTTAGCCCCTTGTCTTAGTGTCCTGGAACTCACTGCAATGCACAGGAGGAGAATGGAGGAGCTGGGCTTTGAATCTTTCATGTGGGGCCATGACTGGGATGTTTGCAGACCCTCTGTCTGCCCCAGAACTGCCTTGAGGGGTGATATTTGTGACATGGCACATCCTGCTCCTCTGATGGGCTGAAAAGCATCTTTTTATGATGCTCCCAGCCTGTTACAGGGAAGTGGGGAGAGCTGCTACATGCTCAGAGTCCCAGAGGTCCTCAGAGGCAGATGTGTGTGTCTCATTGTCTGCTTTGCCTTTTTTCTGAGTCATTCAGCAACTGTTTTATTTCCTTTTTAAACAGGAAACAAGGCAGTGAAGAGAACCTGAAGTGCAACGACTTGCCCAACGTGGGAGAGGAGGAACCTCTTTCATGAACGTCAACTTTACGGTTCTGTTGAGCAACGTGGTCCATCCAGGGCACGTTCTAGAGCGTGCAGCTGAGGATGAGCAGCCTCAACAGAGCCTGCCCCAAACACGGCATGACCCGGCGCTAGCTGAGTCTGCTGCTGGCTGTAGAGCTTACACAGCAGCATGTTGTCAGGCATCCGACCACTTGTCATCCACATCGAACATCTCCCACCGCTTGGACCGCTGGCTTCTTGTGGGGAAGGCTGGCTGAGAGCAGAGGGGTGAGCTGTCCTGTTGAGCAGCAACAGTGCTTTGCAAAAAAAAACAGAAAAAGAAAAAGCAGTCAAACAAAAACGCATTTGGAACTGCTTTGACCTGGTTTTAATGCCAAATAATTTCTGGGGACTGTTGCCCGTGTCCCAGGGGTGTCGTTTGCCCGGCTGGCAGGCGGTGGGCACACGCAGGAGGGTGAAGCTTTTGCCAAGTGATTTATGCAACAGTAGAACTACACGTGTGCACTCGGAGAGTTCACGGCCTACCAGAAATGTTGTTGCATCTATTTCTCCTCCTTCTGGTTTGTTTTTAATTGACACCTTTTTAACTGCATGGGAACAAAGCAAAAACCCACCTTTTCAGCTTTTTAAAGAATGCCTGCCTTTGTGAGCCAAGTGGTATTAAACAGCATCTTTGGGAGGTTCAGAAAGTGAGGTTAATTACCTCCTAAGGTAATTAGCACCCTTCCTAAGGCCTTGGTGTGACTAGGACTTGATATATTGAGTATTCAATGCATGAAAGGAAAAGGTATTTAAGGGCTTAAGTTCAGTCTGAACTATTTTTGCTGCAGACCTAGGAGTGAAAGGTGGCGTTTAGCTGAATGTTTTTGAACAGCAGAGGAAGCACTAACAACAGTTTCTTTCTAAATCTTTTACTTGATCTAGGTAGATATATTATTAAATATAAAATTCAGGGTAAAAATCCTTCACTTCCATGTACATTACATGGTTTACTACAACTAAAATAATACAACTTATGCTATTTTTTAAGTATAGACTTAGGGCTTGCTTAGAATTTAAGATCTTAGCGAAATACTTAGATTAGCTAGTAATTTTCAAAGAAACTTTCATTTTCCAAACTCTTTATCTAGATTTTGGGGCCAACGCTACGTATTTTTTGCAAGTTCGTTACCAGTAATTTGTGAATGCCTGTGGATCAGAGGCTTGTTAGTAAATTAAGTGTATACCTAATTGTTTCTTCTGAAGAGCTCTTTCACCTTTAGTCAGATTACTCTGATTAATTTGTGGTACTTGTAAAATAATAATAATAATAATAATAATCTCTTGTGTGGTGGGAGGGATTCTGACAGCCAGACTCACCTTCTGAGTCCTCTGTGTCTGGACAAGGCGAGTGTGGGTGAGCTGGAGAAGAGTCAGGGTTTGCCTGGGGAAAGGTCACGGTAAGTACAGTTTTGTGGCTGGAGAGTGGGATTTTGGGGAGGGGGTCTGATGGGATTGTGTGACCTTGAATGAAGCATTTAAAATGATGGTGTACACGAGAGAGGGGGGAGGACTCGTATGTACCAAGCACGGAAGGGACTGCTAAGGTGTGATCCTGCACCCTGAGGAAGAGGGCACTAGGGGAGACCCGAGTGTTTCCATGAGTAAGATCCCTGCCTGCTAACCCTGCCCATGGGGCTCTGCCTGTAGGAAGTGACCGTCCCCTTGTCTTCCTTGAACTTGGGCAGCACAAGCAGCACGCTGACCCTGCTCAGTTGGACCTGCCCCAGTAGCTCCTGGTCAGGACAGGTCTTTGTTAAAGCCAGAACAGCGTTAGCGAGTGCACGAGTGCCTACACAAACCCTCCCTTGCATCTTCTGATCACTTGAAGCAATGCTCCCCCTAAATTGCCATTTATTACCAAAACATTGTACTGCTGGGCTCTCTCCAAAGCCAGTGACGGTGGTTTGTGGTTCAGGAGCAGTACTCTGGAGTCTGGAGCCATAAGACACGCACTGTTTTCCTCCCACTGTACTCTGAGGCTGTGCCAAAGCCCTGCAGCTTCAGCTATGGGAAAACCAGACTGGTAACTCGGGTGCCAGCACTGCTGCAGCTGCCTGCTCCCCAGTCCTGAGCAGGACCTTTCACTGGGGACATGCCTGTGGGTGGGCAGCTTGGTTCTCTAACCCTGTAAATGGACTTGTTCTGCCAAAAAATAACTTAGTAATTTTAAAAAAAAGGGGGATGTGCTTATTTGTATCTGGTGCATAGTAATGGGTGTGTGTGTGTGTTAGCAGTGTGTTGGAGAGCTGCAGTGAGCTCTGGTTTGGGATTCATTAGGTGCCTGGTGAGACAGTTTACATCCACCAAAGGCTTGGCAGGCACAAGGCAGCTCTGGAGCAGAGTAAGCTGCACCAGCTCCTCCATGCCCAGCCACACAGGCCTCAGAGATGCCCAAGGCTGGGTGGCTTGCAGCTGCCCTGGGCTTGGGTCACAGGGCTCCTGAAGCTCAGCACGTCCCCAGGGCACGCTCTGCACTGCTCCTCTCTGGAAGACACTTCAATGTAGATTTTTTTCTCCTTGTTGCTTCGTTCTGGTGCAAGCATAACCTGTGGCTGTGTGAGGAAGAGGTATCTATATGCATGACCTGTTAGAGAAGCTGTACTGTACATAGCAACCTGCTCAGTCCCCTGGCTGCTGTCCTGGTAGTGATGCTAGCTTTCCCTTAGAGTGAAGTATACATTCTGCTTGTGCCTTGGAACTGGCCTATAGCTTGATTGCCCCAACTCCCTCCCTTTTAAGCAAGCCCAGTGCTGACTGTAGGCTGAATGCTGGGTACTAAGCCTTTTTTGGCTCTGAAAGCACACAGGAAAGTGCTGAGGGGAAACCAGGCCTCTTGTCTGAGTAGTTTTTCTTGGGGGTCCCCTCTTACCTATCAGGCACTTGATCTGTTTCTTTTCTAAGGTCCTGAACGACTGCTGATTTTTATACTGTTTGTTTAATGACCAAGGCTTGTGTTTCATTCCTACCCCTTTATTATGCATTTAACTTTATCAGGTGTATCAAGTTTAAATACTGTGTATTTAGCACTTTTAAATTATATTACCTAAGAAGAAAAAAACAAAACAAAACAAACAACTCAATGTTTTTCCACACAACTGTTCAAGCTTCTCTGTACAAGTTGAAATAAATGACATGCAACCCAACCCTGAGTTAGTTGATAAGTGGAACCATTATCCTGTTTGACCAGTCTTTATCAAGCTGTGGGAGTCTGTCTGTTGGAAATGGAGTCTGAAAGCACCTTCCAGTGCAGGTGAAGTCTGGTGCTGTACTGTTACTGGGGACACTGGGTGAGGCCACAGTGGCTCTAGCCACTGCAAGGCCAACCGGAGCCACTCAGGTGCACAGGCTGGAGCACTGGCTCTCACCACAGCACCTGTTGAGCTGGGACACTCAGCTTAGAGCTCAGCAGCAGCAGGAGGCAGATAAAGAACAGAACAAAAAGGGAATTCTGTAGCAAACCCACTGTGCTGCTGGAAAAAGGCAGCAGAGCCCCAGCCAGGCTGCTGGAGGTATGGACTAGGTCCCAGGCTCTGTAACCTAGAAGAGGGTCAGAGAAAGGGAAGAGCTGCACCTTGCCTGACAGTGTGATCACCTCAGATGCTCAAACCCCTATGAAGATAAAACCCAGTGACTTCACTTAAATCAGATTGTGCAAACCCATTAAATGCAGCAGGGTCTGGGTGGGGTGGTGCAAAGCACGGGAGGCATGCCAAGGAATGACAGATCTGTTCTGAGCAGCTGGTCCTATCCCACCCTGGCTTAAATTTTTCAAGTCTTTTCCTTTGAACAGGGTTTCATTGCAACAGCCACAACCATGGTGTGAGGAGAACCAAGGTGGAGCAGAAGGTCTAGCTGCAGCAGCACTCTTGCAGAGAACCAAGAGGCAAAGCAGACAGCAGCACTGCCTTCAATAGCTCTCCAGTAACTGTTTCTGTGTACAATGAAGACAGTTCACTGACCCAAACCTTCACACAGGCCCTGGGGAAAAATACACAAGCAAAACCCAGCTTGCAGGACTTTAAGAGGGCTGAGAGAGGGTAATATTTTATTTAAAAGAAAATAAATTTTAGTAGTACCACAAAAATTAGACAAAACAAAACAAAACAAACCCTTCTGTAAGCAGCAAGGCATTTACCTAGCAGAATGGAAGCAGACAGGGCTTTGTCTTGGTCTGTGGCCACTGGAGCTTGGAGACACAATCAGATAGTAAGCAGAGGCTCAGCTAAGCATCAGGGTTCTTCATGGCCAGGAAAAGTGATCTGACAAGAGCAAAGAGCTGCCCTCCCAGGGTCAGGCAACACCTGGCAGGGGCCACATTCACTGTAAGCAAGAATCTGTGATGTCACCTTGTGCTCTCTGCTACCAGTGAGCTCAGGGAAAGGAGGACTGTCAAAATGAGATTGGCGGAGCAGTCCCTGTCCCAGGCCTGGCTGATGCAGGGGTCTGGCATAAAAGCACAATTCTGCCTCAGTGCTTAGTGCAATTAACTTGGGAAGACAGCAGATGAGGAGCAGACGTGGTTCTTCTCTCTGGGGGTTGGCTCCAGCCACCAAGAGTAGTGAAGAAGGTCCCTTTCTCAGGTTTGCCCCCTCTTCCTTCCACCGAAGAGGCGGCGGGTGTCACAGCAGGGTCAGAGTCATGTTCACAGCAGCAGTTTCCAGCAGCAGTTGGTGCTGCAGCAGCAGGAGGTCAGGAGTTTGTTCCATATGTCTCACCAACTCCCTGCAAGGATCAGAGATCACAGTTCTCTGCCAGAAAACTCTTCCTTCTCTCCTTTCACTTAAAATGCTCTGCACAGGCAAACTACTGTCCGCTACTCAGACTTTACTTTTCCAGTACCACAAGGTCTTTTGATTCAGAAATTCAGCCTCTGCAGCAACACTTCCCACCAAGCACAGGGCTGCAGAGTCAAGCTCTACCCTCAGCACCAGTCAAGCAACGCCATTATCCCACTAAATCCTTCTACTGACCAAAGGGATCGTTGGAATCCTGGAGGGAGCTGGAGCTGTGGCTGTCAGCATTCTGGTCTCAGAGAATACCAACCCACTCAATGTGTCAGCTCACAGCAGCAGGAACCCTCAAAAGCCAAGCAGGAAGGATTTGATGGGGACAGAGCTGTTGTCTGCAGCTCTCAGAAGGCAACTGCCAAAGACTGCAACCCAAAAAAAGAGATGCAGTGGGAGCATGACAAGTTCTTGAACATATATTTCCCTCTCCAAGAGTGGTTGCTCAGGAAACAGGACAGTGTTTGTTTCTAGTGCTCCTCCCCACAACAGATTTGAGGTAGCTCCTCTGACGAAGACACAGTTTACTCAGAGCCGTGGTTCAAAATCCCTGTTTGATGTGGAATTTGTACATCCTGTTTGAGAAGCTCTCTGGAGTCAGAGGAGGAAGGAACTTTTGCCTTCCCTCTGCCTTCACTGGTGCTTACCAGTTCATAATCCTCCACGTATTTGTACTTCTTCTCCCGATAGTAGTACTTCTTCTTCATGAAATACAGAACAACTACGTCACACAGCACTGTGGCCTGGTGGGGATTGAAAGAATTGAAGGCAACAATCCTGAGGATGGAGTCACTAAAGCAGAACTGAGCCCCAGTGCAGCCAGTGCCACTTACCACCCCAAAGAGCGCCAAGCCAGAGCCGATGTTAATCATGGTAGGAATGACATCGAATTTTCCTGCCTAGAAGACAGTCCCAAGGGTAAATATGTTTTTCATCATTTCTGAAAGCCCCCACCACAAGACCTCCAGGAATTAAGCCACCCTACCTTTCCAAACACTATGATATCAAAGCGGATGCCATAAGCTTTGATGAGTGTCCGTGATTCGCTGCCATCACTGTCCTTGTAGTACTTTGCAAACCTGGAGAAAAGACAGGTGAGACCTTGGCTGGAAATTTGGAGGTGGTTTACGTGATCATGCAACATCCAGGTGTGTCCTCCATCCCAAGGGGATGGGTACTTCCAAGAGACAAGTCCCAAACAATGAAGGGAGATTTCATGCAGGCAAGTACGTAGAGGAGAAAAGCCCAGAACAGGTGAATTTAAGCCAGCAGCAGGCACAAAAAAGCCCAGGCAACTTGCAAAGCATGGGAAGGGGAGAGAGCTTTAGCAGGGGAGCTCAGCTCCACAGGAGAACCTGCCCACAGAGCAGCAGCAGGAGGCTGCAGAGTGTAGGCAGCCAGGAGAGGGCAGGGCCGGGAGCATGCAGGGCCAGGAGCAGGCAGGCCCAGGAGCAGGCAGGGGCAGGCATCCAGGCTCAGCCTGGCACACAAAGGCTCCCCCATGCCCTCCACAACGGGCAAGAGACAGGGAAAGGAGGAGAACACATCAGTGAGATCAGACTTACTCTGCCACATGGTTGACTAAGCCAGGAGGAAGCAGAGGAGAGGGTGGAAGAGAAGAGAACTGGTTGGTGAGGGGCTGCAGTGGAGTCTGGATTTAGGAAGAGCAGTTCAGAGCCCGTGGCAGCCAGGCTGGGAGCAACTCCAGCTGCTCTCACCTGACCCCCCAACACCCACAGGCCTGGCACCTCCCAGGCACCTCCACCCAACAGCAGCCCTCTGGGAATTTGCTCAAGTGCCACCAACAGAGACCCCCTGTGCCAAGGGAAAGTTTGTGATTCCAGGAACAAGCACAGGCCTGGCCTGAGACGTGTCTCCTGAGCAGAACTGTTGCCAGGATCCTGGCAAGGTGGCCAGTCTCTATTATTATAGCTCTGAGGCCAAATGCAACCAGCTAGCTGGCTCTGCACTGGCAGGGTTGCTGGAGGTGCTGGACCTTCCTACACTGACCACAATGTTTACTTGGTGGTGTATGCCAGAAGGATACCTTCAGAAGACCTTCTCATTCTCTCCAACTGCTTGAAAGGAGGTTGTAAGTGAGGTGGGGATTGCTCTGTTCTCCCAAATAACAAGTGGTAGGACAAGAGGAAATGGCCTCAAGTTGCATCAGGGGAGGTTTAGGGTGGACACAAGGAAAAATTTCTTCCCCAAAAGGGTTGTTAAGCCCTCAAACAGGCTGCCCAGGGCAGTGCTGGAGTCTCCATCCCCAAGGGGTTTGAAAGTACACGTGGCACCGAGGGACACAGTTTAGTAGAGACCTGGCAGTGCTGGGTTAGCAGTTGGACTTGATGATCTTGAAGGTCTCTTCCAGCCAAGGCAATTCTGTGATACTCCTGGTGCAGATGTATTCCTCAACAAACACAGCCACTTTCTAGAGACTAGTTTTTCCCTCACGCACAGTGAAGGAGATGCTTCAGCCTTCCACCCCCACGCCCTGGCCCCCTCAAACACTGCCCTGTCAGCACCACCCAGAACAGTCAGCTCTCACACTGCCACGCCACAGACACTGGCACAGTCCCCCAAAAGCTGATGCAAACACGACTCCAACCCTCCGACCCAACCCGTGGAGCTTCCCCCTCTGCTGGCGTTTCCACTCAGTGAGGAACCGACCTGCTCTGTGCTTTACAGCACCAGAGAAGCTGCCCAAGTTTTACAACACTGTCCAAAGTTGAAGGGCAACCCCCAGTGCCCGAGGAACGCAGGCAGCCTGTAACACTGTGCCAGCGGCAGGCTGAGCCCCAGGCACAGCTCCCAGCCTGCTCTGCCTGACCCTGCTTTAGCAGGGAGGCTGGACCAGACCATCTCCAGAGGTCCCTTCCAGCCCCCAGGGGTGTGTGGCCCTGTGGCAGCAGGTGCCCCCCGCAGCCACGTCACCTGAAGTTGTAGCCGGGCGAGACGGTGTGGGCAGAGTCCCTGTTGTCCAGCCGGCGGAAGGAGTACCTGGGCACGCACAGGGAGGCAGCTCTGTCAAGGTTGCAGTCCCAGTTGATCTGCAGTGCCATGACTCCACCCTGACACGTGGAGAAGAAAAGGTAAGCGGCCCAAGTGCCTGGCCAGCCCAGCACTAGGCTCTCTGCTGATTTACTGCCCCTTGACCCAGTCAAACCCTCTTTCCTCCTGGTACAGAAGGACCTTGCACGTAAGCCCACCCAAACAATCCAAGGCCAAATATTTGTTTGGTAGAATTGACTCCAGTCCCCTTGGCCAGAGCAGCTCTCCATTCTACAGCTACTCTGTGTCCTGTGGCTCATGCCACGAGGCAGAGGGGCACAACCACCTACTGCTCCTCTAACACAGCTGAGGCCCAAGACAAGGGTCTGCTAAATACCTCCACAGCCATTTCCTGGAAGTTTTGTCCTGCAGCTTCAACTATTTTCCCTAAACGAAAGATAGGGCAGAAGGGATCTGTCTGGGAGTCATAGATGCAGTTCTTGAGGTAGGTGGAGTTGATAGTCGGGAGGATGTTTCGCCTACAGGGGAAGAGAGAGAGATCTGTTGCACCTTCTTCCACTCTTCCAGCTCTGCTGTGCTGTCCGAGAGAGCAGACAGCACAATGCCCCCCAAACACTACTTACTTGCTGAAGTTGAACTTGGGGTACCAAATGTTGTTCTTCACCAGAATGGTGAAGTTCTCAGCTTCTCGCAGGAACGCTGGACTACACAACAATAGGAAAAGGAAATAAGTTTCACTTACATTTTCACAAACAGGACTTTGCAGGGCCCTTGGTGATCACCTCTTCATCCTTTCCCAACACAGCATACTGCTAGCCTCCCCTCAGGAGGGCCACCACTCTGTGGGAAGGCAGAGCACTCACTTGGGTGTATGATAGTCATCCTCCACAGGGCACCATGCAAAGACTTCACAGGTCTTAATGCTGCTGTTGTACCATACACACTCCCCAGTCTGGATGCCTGGAAAGACAGATGAATAGAGGTACTACTAACCAACTACACAGAGGCAGTACTTGCCCTGTGAGACCTCCTCACTCTGTAAGGTGTAAGCAATCTGCTCAGAGGTGAAGTGCCTGTACCAAGCCCCCCACTATCTTCCACTGCAATTTGTAGTGCAATTTCAGGGAAAGAAGCATCAGCTCCTTTTTCTGAGTCAAATCCTCATCTATGTGAAATGCTGCTTCATGGACTCAAGGTCTTGAAGGAGCCCTCACACTGTTTGCTAACACATCCATCCAGCACCCACCCAACACAGTCTAAGCCCACCTGCTCTCCCCCAGAAGTAAAATCTGAGCTTCCTTTTCAGTTCTCTTAGGTGTGAGAGAATGAGAATGTGGAGACTGAAGTGTAATGCTGCTTCCTTCACAGGCAGGAAGGCCCAGCACAGAGGTATCACAACGTAAAAAGGAGCCTTTGCAGAAGGCTTCTTACCATTGCTGTGGGTGCTGACATACCCTGGAACACATTTATTCTTCACCTGGCACACTGTTTGATCATCTGGAAGCTGGAGAGGAACAGTAATTACACTAAACTCTAAGAATTCTCTCCCATCACTGCCACCCACACAAGGCAGAATTAAAGCAGATCCTGTACCCACCTCTGGGCAGCGGCGCTGGCTCTGGTTCAGTGTGAGTATCACATTGGTCATGACAAACACGGTGTTCTCCTCCTGAACGTGCAGAACAAGAAGGAAATTTAACAGTAACAGTCTGCAAAGACTATCCCAAGGCACCGCCCCAAATGTCTTTGTTGACAGAGCCCAGGTGGCTGTAGCCCAGGAGCAGATTCCCACATGTACCACCTGATGGCACTGACCTTTCGACAGAGAAATAACTGTGGGACTAGCAACTCTTTCTGTCCTCCCACTTGGCCCAAACTTCTTCATTCACGTTATGAAAACAGAGACACCACAGCTCCTCAGGGGAGTCGCAAGGCAGAAGCAGAAATACAGCTCCAGCTGCAAGTCTGAGCAAAACTCCCCACTTTTTTTTTTTCAAAATATCTGTTAGAAATGTGACCAGTCCTGGTTTGTTTCTCCAGGGAGCACCACCTCTGTTATTTTCAGACCCCTACGACTCAGGATCCATTGTTCGTTTCTGCTCCACTGATATGCAAATATGATCAGTCAGCCAAAATCTGGCTAAATCCATCACTTTTTTTCAGCACCACATCTCACACACAGAGAGTGACCCACGACCACCACCTTGGCTGTGCCTGGCAACCCTGGAGGCCACCCCTCATCCCCCACACAGTGCAGATTCCCACAGTCCATCAGTAACTACAGCAATACCTCCTGTTCAGTTCCAGATCAAGTGACCTGCAGGCTACTCCCAGGGCTTCTGCCAACAGCTTACTTTGCTTCAGATTTTTTTGATATGCAGTTATTGTTGTGACTTTTCCCTGAAGTTGCAAAATTGTCTCTCCTATCCAAGCACAAGCACAGGGACACTTTTCTTGAAACAAGCTGCCCCAGGGCTCATGGTGCAGGTGCTCAGCAGGCTCTGCAGCACAGCAAAGCTGCTTCATTCCCTCCTATCGGGGCCAGGCTGGAGCCAAAGCCACTCCAGACCTCAGCGGGCTTTAGCAACGCAGCAGCTGTTTGTTAGAAACCCCTCCCTCTGATGTGGGTACCTGAGGAGGGATCACATAGTCGGCTACATCCCAGATCCGGGCCCCCAGGTCAGATGTGTTCGTCAGAGCAACTCCTTTCACTTTTGTGGTTACAGAACTGACCACGGAGTCTGTTTCCTGGTAGCCTTTCTCCCACAGAAAGACCCAGCTGCAACAGATGGATTAGAAGGGAAAAAAAAAAGAGAAAAAAGAACAACCAATCAGATCAACAACATAAACCAGCACAGGCAGGGGGGACTGCTCCTTTTTTTCATGTGTTTCCTGAAAGGGCCACTCTAGATAGTTTCATAGCGTTTCCCTAGAAAAGAGTCACAGGACTACCACCCTACCATTCCATGACTAGCCA